CCAAGGATTTAAAACTTTGTCATAAATATCTCTGAGTCCAATCTTGAGACAAGAAAAAACAATAACAACAACAACACAGTAGCACTTTGTCCCCTTCCAACCCTGCCAATCCTTTTATATAGAATTATATTTTGCTTCGGTTGGTATCAGACTTGGAGTCAAGAGGATCTTGGGTTCAAATTTTCTTCTTCTTCTTCTTAGCTGTACGACCCTAGGCAAGTCTTTTAACTTCTCCTTTTACAACTTTACTTCATGGCCTTCCCCTCTCTTTATATGCATTTTCTTAAATCTCAAATGTGACCGTGTCACTGCCCTACTTAATAAATTCTAATGGAATCCTATTACTTCCAGGATAAAATATATTAATTATTTTTGTACAGCATTTAATGCCCTTCATTGCCTGGCCCCAATGTACCTACCCAGCCTTATTGCATAGAATAACCCTCTTCATACACTGCAATCCAAGAAAAAAAAATATTCCTTTTACTGTTCCTCATACTTTGCACTCTATGTCTGATCTCGAAGCCTTACTTGTGCTTCCAGAAATGGAATGGACTTCCTCCTCACCATCATCTCAGAGAAGCTTACTTTCCTTCATGGCTGAGCTCAAAAACTGCTTTATACAAGAGCCCTTTACTTATCTCCCCAACTATAAGCATGCTGTCTTCCCCAGTTACACTGTGACTTCCTTGAGAACAAGGACCGTTTTTTGCTTTTATATGTGTGTTCCAAGAAGCCAGAACAGTGCCTGGAACATGTTGTTTTTGTTTGGTCATGATCAAGTCTTTGTGACCCCATTTTGGTATCTTCTTGGCAAAGATGCTACTCTGTGGCTCATTTTTACAGATCAGGAATTGAAGCAAACAAGGTTAAGTGACTTGCCCTCAGGGTCATGCAACTAGTAAGTGTCTGAAGCCAGATTAGAATTCATGAAGATGAGTCTTCTTGATTCTAAACCCAGTGATCTATGCACTAAGCCACCTAGCTGTCCATAATAAGTGCTCAAAAAAAAAGTTTATTGATTGATTGATCTTCTAAGTCAAAGACGGGGAATACTCACAGCAGGATTGAGACACTAAAGATTCAAAGTAAGTTTTAAGAAGAACAAAAAAAAATACTTCTGTACTTCTGAATATACAATAGAACTTTTTGAAATTAAAAACCCACATATATGATTATATCAAAAATGTTAATGTATATACATATATTGATATAATATATATGTATAATATATGTAATATATTATGCATATTATGTGTATAATATATTCTATATAATATAATATATAATATATTAAATATATTGTACATAGATGTCTCAAAAGTCTTAGTATATTTTTAAGCTTCAATAAGTTTAACAAATTCAGAAGTATAAATGCTACAAACTTACACAAACATTATTTGAAAGTTTATTTAAATGTACTTAACATTTATGAAGCTTTGTGAATTTTTAATAATAAATTTTTAAATTTTAATTATAACAAGAAAGGTTGCTCTGTCATCATGTACTGCTTGTGTGTCAGTTTCAGGATGAAAGTTTCTCAGACCCAGACTCAGAAACTTTCTCACCTCAATCACTTGATCTATTTTCATTAGACTTTTTTCTTGTAGGGTCACTTCAAAATTGTGGGTATTCATCAAAACCTAGTTCTTTAGATGATATTAAGGCTAAGATAACAAACACTTCCAATCACTAAGCATTAGCTGATGAAAGTTTTTAAGAAGTTCAAAAATATACTAGAGATATAAAGCATAATATGGCCATGTTGAATTGATAAAAAAAAGTATCAATACATTTAAAATTTAAATAATTAACATTTCAAATTTTATTTTTGTAAGTTTGTAGCATTTTTAGTTTTGAAGTTATGGAAACTTAAAATTGCACTAAGAGTTTGAAATAGCTAGCTAGAAATAACTCTAGATATCTATTAAGACATAACAAGCTTCAGAGTCTGATCCAGCTCTGTTCTTCCCTTTTCCTGGGGTCTGTTTATCTGAAGGAAATGCCTGTCTATGACTTATATACAAATGAATTAAACCACTCCATTAAAAATGTATTCCCACAATCTCATTGAAAGCCTGGGCTGCCCTAAGATGCTAAAAGAATATCTCCAGTGCTTTGGCAACATCTTGATATACAGGATTTACAGCATGCACAGGATAAAAAACCATTGAGTAGCAGACATTAATAATAGGATAAGAGCACCTACATACCTATCAGATTTTTCCATAGAGGATAGCAAGGATCCTCGTAACATTTGAGCTCCAATATTTTTCAATGCTACTTTTAAGGCCACTGCCTCCACAAGAGTTAGAATTGGTCTGGAATGCTAGTTGAGAGGGGAATCAATGCCTTATTAGAGCTAATATAATAATAATTGATGTTTATAGAGAGCCTTGACATTTGCAAAAATGTTATAAATGTTTTATTTCTTTAGAACCTAACAACTCTCAGAGAGGTACTAAAATTACTACCAGCCCCATTGTACAAATGAGAAAAATCAGACTAAAAGAGGGGCTACACAGTGTCTACAACATGATTTTAACCCAGGCTTAAGTCAAGAGCTCTACCCACTACGCCATACTCTCCCTCTACATCTCAGCTCAAGTACATTTCTTGGATATGGGCAGAGTGACATACTGTAATTAATTAGTCATCCCAGATAATTGGATACTTTGATAGTTTGACGCTTTGAAGGAGCTATGATTTCATTAGTGAACATTCCCTCCATTAATAATGAACACAACCACTCAATGGCTTTTCATCCTATGCAATTAAACTCTCACCGGCACCCTCTTATAAATCCTGTATATCTGCATCTAGCCAAAGCACTGGAGATATTCTTGTGTTCTTTTAGTATCTTAGGGAGACCAGTGTACCATTTGGCAGTCCAGTAGTTGTCTTTACATGACCTGCCCACCTCCTTTTCTGGACACATCCATCCTCAACAATGTCTTTTACCTCCATGTTTGCATACTGCCATGTATGGCCTGTTAAATTAGTTGTTTCATTGATAATTCCAGCTATTTGTTTTAATTGCATTTGTTTTCATTTATTCCCATTTCTCAAGCAACCTTCAGGAAAATTCTTTGAAATTCAAGCTTTTAATATTCATTCTTCCTATAGCCAAAAAGCCTTGAAAGAAGACAGGAACTTGCCTAATCTTAACATCCAGAGAGCTACAGCAATAAGCTAAGAGAGGATCAGCACAGGGAAAATAAGTAGCTTTACTATTCATCCTAAGCCAAGAGGTCTTACCCAGATGGCTTAATTCCCATTCTCTCTCTCTCTCTCTCTCTCTCTCTCTCTCTCTCTCTCTCTCTCTCTCTCTCTCTCTCTCTCTCTCTCTCTCTC